AAGTGGATTTAAAACCATTGCTATTTTTTTTCTTTGTTGTTTCACAGATCCTTATAGGGGAAATGAAGGAGCCAGCTAAAAATCCTTTGCCTCCATAATGTTAAATTTATTCAGAACTTAGGCTCCATGGGCCTTCTGAGAACAGCTAAACCAGTCCAAGCATTGGTTGGGCTAGCTATTATCTAGTTTTAGTCTCATGTTATAATTCATATGTATAGAGTGTAGTTGTATTATTTCTTTGTAATACTGCATTAATACTATGAGATCTTTACTGACTTGCCATTGGCTTTTTTGAATTTCATGTATTTCATTTTGAATTGGATTTCCAAATAAAATACTACATTCCAATCCATAATATTTATAAAGAACTACTTTGGACCCTTCCACTATGTCAAAGTGTTATATAAATAAAAAATAAAAAAACTACACAAAGAACACCAGTTGGTGTATGAAGATAGGGCATTTTCAGCCATGGTGACCCTAATATGTCTGGCACTCCACTTCGGAGCTTGCTTGGCGCCCATTCAGCTGCTTTTATGATTCCTGTAAATACTTTTAAAATGTCCAGGCATTCCAGCATATCAAACAGCTGTTTTTGTTGTTGTATGGTCTGGCTGGTATCCCAAATTGTCACAATGCTTTATTTGTATTTTTTAATTGTTGTATTATATTATCTGCTTGTCACTGTAAAACCTTATACAGAGACACCAGCTCATATATTCTTTAAACAAATACACAGAAATCACTTCTAAATTAAAATTTAAAAAATATGTTTCAAGGCAATTAAATTTAATGTTGATTTTATTTTGAAGAACAGAAATTCTCTTCTTATAATAAAATATTGATTGCAACTCATTTGTCAAACATTTCTGAGATTCTGCTTTGTTTTGATCAAATTGCCCATGGCTGACAAGGAGATAATTTGGAGTAGGTGGCAAATTTCTAAGGAAACAATGGCAATTTACTTGGACTTGCTATACTTATATGCCTTCTCAAGTGAACAGCAGACCACTATAAAGAGATCCAGGTCACAATGGATGAATCTAAACATATCCTGAGGTAATGCCACATCATTAGAGTTTTAAATCATTTATTTAATGGATGAGGTATTCTGTAGAATTACCATTTCAAGTTTGATGTGCTTTTCCTCTCAAGCTACTGTCCTGTACCATTCTATAGTCTAGACAGGCATTGCTTTATAGATGCAAAACCACTTGCCATTTCAACCATATGTCAGCAAATTAATGTCTGCATAAAAATCTTGAAGGAAAGAAGATATACTTCCAAATCACTGCAAACTCACAGTCAGTTTTTACTAAGGTGGTGTTGGTATGCATGGTCAGTGACATAATGCCTTTTAAGCCCATATGACTTGTTCACTAAGTACACTAAGAATTGTATACAAAATTGTAGTCTGAGACTATATACCATACTAGTCACCTATGTCTTCTTTGCTTACTCTACTGAAAGAAACTGTGATTTTAACAACAGCAATAATCATGCACTCTGCATTGCAGTCTTGAGCCAAACTGCAGGAAACAAGGAAGGTGAGTAAGAGAACCATTATTTTTTCTGGGAACACGCATGTGATCCTAGTCTCCCCACTCCTGCTTTAATATGCACGTATTGAACTAAGAATACGGAAAGTCTGGTTAGTTGTGTAAAACTGGCTAAAAAGCCCTTTCAACAGGCCCTGATGGAATAAGATTTCCATGGTATGATCCATATTACAGCTCCTTTCACATGCTGTGCTGGTATCTTTTAAAAGGACAATGGCTGTTCTAGAAGCCTACACTAATGAATACAGTGCAATATCCAATGGGCTTATAATGCAGTTGAGTGAAACACACAAATGCATAATGTTGTGATTATGACAAAAGCATGAGGAATTTGAATGAGCATGTGTTATTTTATTATTTGCATTTTTAGCACAAGTCTCAGTATAGTGCTACAACTTCAGGAGAAATGGAAGGGAATGCTACAGTAAGTACTTTTTTTTTTGTTTCTTAACTGCATGCCAACTTTCAATTTTGCATAGGAGTTCAAAGTTCAAAAATAGTGTGGTTATTTGCAGCTGTGCAGTCCTGTAGGTACACAGTAAAAATAGATGCAACAAAAATTACTAAGAAAGACAAAGGTAAGAAACATCATTGCTCTGTTTTTAGTGTTAGTGGAGTTTCCTGCCAGCTAATCCCATGAATATCAGTACTATTAAATTGAAAGATTAGGGGATGAAAGATTGAGAAGAAAGATATAGGAAGGGAAACAAAGGTATGGGAAAATATCAAAATATAAGTTCAATAGTTATAAAGTCATTCCTACATATAACAATTATAACACCACTACATTGGAACACATTTTTGTACCACACAGGAACTGCAAGCATCAGAAAAGTTGATATTAAGCTAGTTTGAGAAATAACAAACTAGTTGACATTAAACTAGTTTGAGAAATTGTTGTATTTATTGAATTTGTTTGTAAGCCATCCAGAGACACATAGTGATTGGATGGGTTAGAAATATCCATTAATAAATAAATAAATAAATAAATAACAGAATATGAAGGAAGAAACTGTATCAACACAATTTGGGTTGACTATTATTTGTCTCATGTGTAAGTCAGTTTTTAGAGGATTGGAATAAAATGCTTGCACAGATTGCATCAGTATTAGAAAGAGAACATATAACTAAGGGTACTTTCATTTATTTGTATAAAGAGTCTTTTATTCTACTGTCATCCTGCCTCAAACATTTTCTTACAGGAAGTCATTTTTCCTTTGTAATCCTCAAATGATGCCTCAGTCTTCCTTCCATCTTTTTCTGTATACAAAACTCTGATTAAGAAGGAATATACAGAATTGGAGCACAGTGTCTATAAATTTATACCACTAGGATCACTGCACTTTAAAGATGTAATCCTATGCATATATAAGCAGGAAAAAAAATCCTACAATTCCCATCATTCCCCAGTGAGGCAGCCTGTGCTAAAATAAAACATAGCATTAGTTGCATCTGGGGACACTTTGTTACCCTAGAGAAAAGGACTTCAGGCCGGGAAAATGCTGCTTATGAAAGGCCTTTGTTCCAGTTTAATGTTTCCTCCATGAGGTTTTAATCAGCACAAAAATGACTTTAAGCAAGTAAAAATAATATGTAACCTTACCAAAGGCTATGCATGATAAAATCTGCAAAATAATACAAACTATTGAACTTCCTAACAATAGTTGGGTCTATAAATTTTACACCTAGATTAAAAGACTTTCCCTACATGGATTTTAATTCTGTTTGCTGCAAGCTAGGTCAGACTCTTGACTTTGTTTCTTTGCTTGCACATTTTTGTTTGGGGTATAAAAGTGCCCCATAAAACTATGCTTATGCAAATAGGGACCCTTTGTTCCTATAGGCATGTTTTTTAAAAGGAGGGTTTATAGAAAAAAAAAAAACTGTAAAAGACAGGCACTTGAAATCTGGGGATGTTTTGCCTCAGCAGATTGTGGCAATGTCCTAGGAGGACTAATTTGTAGGATTACAAATTATGTGAAGATTACACAACAGAATGTGAGCCAAGAGGTCTCAGAGCCCTGAAGAAGTAGGATACAGCTTGTATACCGTTGTCTTGAGGTTGTTCAAACAGACACATCTAATTTCTGGGTTCATGAGGTTTTGTTTCATAAACTGAAACCCTCTTGAAGCCTGTTAGACAGTCTACCAGAAGTTTCTATACATTTTGTCAAGGAATGTTAGGTGCAGATAAAAGAACTTTGTAAGTCTGAGTGAACCAATCAATCATGTTGGAATACTGTTTTCATGCGTTATAGAGTATTACAAGGTGGTTATAAATGTACCATAGCGTTGTTGAATAATAAAACACGTTCTATGAACTAGACTCAAAACAAACAAGAAAGTCTTTTAAATGATCCCACTAGTGAATAGTTCATTAAAAAATCAGCCAGCATCCCCATACATACCTATATAAGAAATTGTATACTACATTGCTAGCTTGGAGGGGGAAAAAACTACCCCCCCCAAATATTTGATTTACAACTTAATTTGATTTTTCATTTCTGACTCTATCTTAAGATGCTTCCAAGAGGTTGCAAAGAGGCTTCCCTGCTTGGTTTCATATTCATATTTGACTCTTTCATACTCATATTGACTCTTTACTAACGTGGCCAAATACAAAAAAGAACAGGACCCCTGTAGAAGAGGGAATTTCATTTCATACACAAGCCACACCCACTGATATTGTTTTTATTACATTATTGTTAAAGGCATAGGATCTCTCTCCTGTTTTGCAATTGGCCACCCTTCCTACAGCTGAGTGTCTCTTTTGTAGCCTGAGGCAAGTATAATGAGAATGGTTGAAATGTCATTTGTTTATCCATTTTGATTTATAACAGAGAGAACCAAAGACTTTAATGTTTAAATATTGGCAAGTCTCTTGGGGAAAGCCAGAGAACCAGCCATAGTTTGTCTGTACAGCCTACTGATGTTCCTACAAGGTCACTGCAACTTGCAATGCAAGTGGTGCAAATATCCTGTAAAATATAGCAATGTTATTTCTTTGCAACATTTCACAACAGTATTCATCAACTGTATCAGTTGGCAAGAAATCAGGGTTTAATCCCCTGTTATATCTGCTTTTCAGGGACTGGATGCATTGCATTTTTGGGATATATCTGATCCCAAGATAAACACTGTGGATTGTTCCCCCAAGTGCATCTTCAAATGCCTTTGTACTGACTTGGCTCAAGAACAGCAAAGGGGGCATTCTTAGCAAACCTTAGCAATTGCATTGGGTTATTTTTTTAAACCAGGAATGATCATTTTTAGAGCCTTCTCCCACACTTGTTAAAGTGTGAAGTCAATATGGTAGTAGTATGACCAAAACCTTAACCATTCCTGATTCATTTATAAGAGTAAAATGAAGGCACGGACCTCTCAGAGGCATTAAATGGCATTAAAACATTTATGCCATTTGCATTAAAACATTTTGCTTACCTTGTCCTCTATACTCATCTGATTCCCTGTGGACCAAGTCTTTTACCCGGTTTCCATACAACAATCTGGAGGAATCATGATCAAAAGCTTTCAAGGTTTCACTTGAGCTGTAGGACTTCTGTGTAGGCACTCTGCACTCTTCATTTTCTGCTGAAGAGTTTGTGTAACGCCGTTCCTTCTCTCTTCTGCTTTTTGTTAGGGAGCAATATGGTCTGCGTTCCTTCACATCCATGCTTCATTCCTTCTGTATGCACATCAAGCCAGATTACTTGAAATTCTGCTGCTCTATATTCAATCTTTCACCTGTAAGAGGATTAAATAGATTATATGTAATTTATGTACATATTTACATAATGCTATAGATGCATCAGCGGTTATGTAATTACTAAGGGTAAAAGTCCTACTCAAAGAACATAAAGTGTACTTTCAACTTAAATTGAACTGTATTTGAAAGAGACCAAAATAGGGTAATTATTCAGCAATATGACTGGTAAATTAGATGTGAAATCTCTGCCAAAGAAGAGAAGTAAAATATACACCACTGAAGATGCAATCTACAATAAATTGCTGGTATGCTCTGTTCATTGCATCAGGGAATCCAACCATTAAAATGGAAAATGTAGTTCCAGTTCAGGTTCAGTGACAACCGAAGTTGTCATCTGGATCTAGATCAGGCCAATAAAAATTGACTAATTTGTTCAGCACACACAATCAAGTAGTTCAGGTCTCCTTTAGATGAAACAGTTTTGTTTCCTGCTTTCCTGCCCCAACTTTGGGTTCATAGATAGATGTCTATTTCAAACATATTCCTAGTTCATTTTACATTTACATCAATGTTCTCAATGTGTTTGTTGACAGGTATTTGCTCTTTTCCGGTTTAGTTTGAACACAGACTTTCATGAAATGGTTCAGGTTCTGTTCCAATACAGGAAAGAAAGAGTTTGATCCTAATTCTTGATTTTGTTTCAGTTTGAGTCTCTGATGTCAACAAACACTATAAGGGGAAATGGCACAGCATTATTCACTGTAGATTAATAACACCAACAGCTAAACATGTCACTAAGGAGTCTGACTCAAAAACCAAGAAAATGCATTTCCAAAGAAAGAAAGCCAACATGCTGTTCTTATACAGCACTGGCAGTCAGTACATCAAGTTTAAGGTACTGCTGTTAACATATAATGTCCTGAACAACTTGGGGAACCCTCATGCCTTCCGTTCTTACCTGATATGTATGATCAGAGAACTTATTCAGGGTGCCACAAGCTCCTGAGAGTCACCTCAGGAGCCCTTGCAATGAAGCACTTAGTATTGCAACACTGATCTTCTGGAACACTGTCATACTTGATATTAGACAGGACCCTGCAATGCTGTTATTTATTTTTTTAAAAACCTCATTCCTCCACACAGACCACCAACTATGGTTTATAGCAAAGAGTGAGAGGTTTTATGTCTTTTAAATTTTGTGTTGTGCCATTGTTATTTGTTTTTGCTTTGACACCATTATATTTTAAGTTCACTGCTTTGATATTTTTATGGAAAACAGTATCTAAATTTGAAGGGAAAAAAAGCTTACTGTATGTAGCAATACTTATACAGACACAACTCTACTTCCATTAAGTAAAACATAATGCCCTTGCATGAAACTCCATCTAAACAACAAAACTTTCTTAAGATTTTTTAATTGAGCAAAATGTTTGGAATGGGGTTTTAGAAAAATAAAATTGTGATTTGTATAGATTGATGGATTTTCTTTGCTCTCTCATAATACTATAATTCACTAAGTTTAGGAATGGCAACAGTAAATTCTTCTCACAATGTATGTAAATATTGCTTAGCTGCCCCCAGGGCAGGAAACCTCTCAAGGCAGGGCATAGCAAGAAACACATAATAAAAACAAATCTGTAGTAAGAACACAGTAAAAACCGCAGTGGTTTCAAACATTGTGAAAAGCACCAATACAAAATAAATACAGGGTATTCCAAAAAATTGACATCATTTCATAGGCTAATAACATAGCTAATTCTTGCTCAAATGATCTCAAATTTTAACAAAATGTGCAAAAAATAACTAATGTTAGTTACGCAATGTTACGCAAGACATGCTACAGCATGTTCGGCAGGAGGTGGTCTACCAACTTGACGTGTATTATGTCACAGGTGGTGCGCATATTGAACATTTGTGAAGCTTTGTGAAATCGTTATAAAATCTACATCCCTTTGAATCTCTTGTTCGAATTTTGATAAATAAATCTTTGATTGTTCAACATGAACCCTATTTAATTTCATCTGCCTAGGACATGAAGTTACTCAGATATTCACATTTCAAATAATGTCAATTTTTTTGGGACAATCTATATTATAACATGTACCTGGAGCTACAACCTAGGGTCATAAAAAAATCAGAGAAAACCAAAGTAAAACAGTAAGTTTTCATAACTTTCTTAAGAGCTTGCAATGATAAGTTCAGATGGATGCGATGATTTGGGGCCACTGCGAAAAAGGCTCTCTGTCATGTAGGTGCATATTTAACTGTCCTCATAGGTAGGCAAAAAAGAAGAGATTCTATTGCTTATGGGCAGAGTGATACGGGTGACAGCATTCCTTTCAAAGAATGATTGAGAGTTGGGTCAGAAAGGGCCAAGAAGGCCACTAAGTCCAACCTCTTGATAGTGACAGGATGCCAGTTACATCATCCCTAACAGATAACTGTCCAATTGCTTCTTGAAAGACTCTAGTGTGGAAGAACACACAACTTCTTTTGGCAGCTTGCTCCATACTATTGCTTCGTACAACTGTGATACTGCTCTCACAGTCAGGGAATTTTTTCTTTGTGTCTAGCCTGCACCTGATGTACTGTACTTTAAGTTCATTGTTCTGCATTCAGTTTGGTTCAAAACCATTTCAGTCTTTAAAGGAAAAATGGCAGTATGATCTAATTGCCTTGCTACACCAGTGCTTGGGAGGCTGCATTCTACACCAGCTCATGTTTCCAGACCAGTTTCAAAGGCTTCCCCCTTAACAGTGCATTACAGTTGTTGAGTGGGGACATCAGAAATGAACAGATAACCAAGCAAGATTTGTCCTCTCTGAATAGAGCTGTAGTTGGAATACCAGCTCAAACAGGTAAAATACGTTCCTGGACACTTGGACTTCCCCAGTTAAATGCCCAGACTATGCATCTTTTGTAGGAGTGTAGCCACATCTAGGACCATCTGGAAACCTCTATGCAAAGGAGTCTGTTTCCTAGTTTTCAGTACCTCAGTTTTGTCTGGATTACCCAAAATGGCCTCTAGAAACTGTTTCATCAGTTCAACAGTTTTTGATGAATGGGTGGAGCAGTGTTGGTTACATGAGAATCAGTACACAGAATTGTTACTAGTAAGTATAATGATGCACAGATAATTTATCTATTAATGGCTATTAACCAAGTAAGCTAATTAAATAGGCCACCTATTTTCAGAGACAGTATGCTGGCAATCACTAGATACTGGGAGAAAAGAACAGGTGCTTTGCAATACATTCATGCTCTTCTTGTTAGTAGCTAGAAGCCATCTGGATAACTGTTCAAAACAGAATGCTAGGCTGACCTTAAAGCCAAACTAATTAGTTTAATACATAGCACAGAATTATGTTATCTTTCCTTACTCAATAGTAAGTATGAAGGGCTCAATTCAAATTAAGATCCTACTATTGGGACAGAGAGCCAAATGTTAAGCAACTGCCCTCACTGTGGTTCACCTTAAACATTCTATTATTTAAAAAAATCCATTTGGATAAGGTCCCAAATGCTTACTTTTGAGGAAAGAAAAGGATCACATGCTATATATTAAAAGTAACTTTTTGTTTGCCCTTAGTTTGATAAGCAGAGTTCAGTTAAACCCTATTGATATTTTATAATGCAATCATAGTTTTTTACACAATACCAACCAACTTATCTCTGGAAGATCCCTACACCAAGTGATTTTAGCACATATTTATTGTTATGTTTTTATACAACTGAAATAGAAAAATAAAATGTTAAAAATAATAAAATTTCTAGCCTCTTATTAACCATACATGAATTCCATTAAAATGGATCATTCAGGGTGCTTATGCTATCTACATATTCAATAATATTTCTTAAGCAACTTACTATGAACTGTTTCTCATGTATGGATGTGAAAGTAAAGCTGACTGGAAGAAAATTGATGCATTTGAAACATGGTGCTAGAGGAGAGTTTTGTGAATATCCTGGATTGCCAGAGAGACAAACAAATGGGCCCTAGATGAAAATAAGCCACAACTTTCCCTGGAACCAAAAATGGCCAAACTGAAACTGTCATATTTCAGGCAAATCTTAAGAAGGCAAGACTTACTGGAGAAGACAATAATGCTAGATAAACGTGAAGGCAGAAGAAGAAATAGTAGACCAAATATGAAATGGGATTATGCCATAAAGGCAGTCACAGCCTTGGGTTTGTAAGAGCTGAGCAGGGCTGTGAAGGAAAGGATCTTTTGGATGGCATTCATTCATAGGATCACTATAAATTAGAGAGTACTTGAGAGCACATAACATCAACATTATCAACTTTGTAATTTGTTTAGTCTTTTAAAAACTCAAAGGTTTACAGACTGAACCAATAAACTTCCATGGATATCTACAGAACATACATGTACACATACATGACTATGACAAACAAAACAATTACTGTGCACATTTTCTCTTAATGTGTAGAAAGCCATTTTTATGACACAGGAAATTATTGCCTATAAATGTATTAAATCAGTGCAAAGCAAGGGTCTTTACCACAGCTTTGCATAAACAAACTCCAAGATCTGAGGATTTTAATGCTGGATTGTGACTCATTAACAGAAGTGCTATTTCTTGTACTAACATATCATGGTTTTTCCTTTTGTTTTTAGGAGGGAGAGCATAATGAGATCCTTTTTATCAGTGTCTCCTTCAGTATAAGAAATTTATATATGCCAGTTAATTATCATATACAGTTTAAGCAATGGAAACTTCCAGTTTCTTTGAAAAAAAAACTACACTAAGCACAAAATTCATCACAACACAATATAAGCAGTACCCCCTTCCCCCCCCTCCAAAAAAAATTAACTAAGGTTCTCTTATATCTGTTCACTTACTGCCATTTTAAAATGCACTTGGTTTCAAACAAATTAATCAATCACCTCCTTTATTTGGAGTTGCAACATGTATTTGATTTACAATCATATTATAATTTAAAATTCTAAAGGGAACAGGTCTTTAATCATAATACATTATCTGAAATATTCTAGAGAACCAAGAGACTTCTTT